TCAATTGTAGTTTTATAAAGCAATGGAAAAATCCGAATCATTTAATCTTAGTGAACATGGGCCTAGGTTTAGTTGCCAGCTTATCCACGTAATTTATCGCAATTTGTAAAGCTTGTAACAGATCAATAGATGCCTTAACATTCATCATACTGCATATTATAATAAAATACTTAAAGTTTCGTGGTACACATTAGATAAATCCCTGTATATAGACGACTATAGAGGAAAAAACAGTTATAAGTTGTTTAGGAAAATTATTCAAAAGTATCCATAACTGACTAAATTCTTTTCTAGAGAGTTCAGGATTGTAATGTGAATATGCTGATTAAAAAATAAACAATGACATTGTAGATAACATATATACTTTAAAATTGTAATTTGATTTTTATCTTAGTAAGAATAAGAAATGATATTGTGAATTTGTGGTCTATAAAATCGTTTGATTTTGTAAATAGAACTTGATGATGGAAAAAAACTTTTGAAACACAATATAGATGGTAAAATGCCGAGAATGATTTACAATATACATAACTAAGCTAAATAATGTCTGTAAACACATAACAACATTATTTTACAAGTGCAACAGGTGTCCGTCCAGCCATTCATCTTTATAAATAACTCAATGATAGTACAATTTCTTGTCCTTCTTTTGTATTTGCAAGACAAGTATAAAACAGATTTCTTTCCAAGTTCTGAAAATTCAGATTAATAAATGTTTTGAGATAGTCCGTTGACATGAATCCGTGTTGAGTAATTCGTTACAACTCGTCTAGGTAGCATGGAAAGCATACACCCCAATATTTCATGTTTTTGATGGGATGTACAAGCACATGTCGTTTGTTTTACGGCGACATTGTCATTCAGTTGCTTACATTCCTGACATCTGTCACTTCGATATGGCGAATGCTACTATAAGGCGGCAATTCAGAGCAGCAGAGTTATGGAGGGCCCTAGTGTAGGTGCAGCAGGTTGTCAGGTTGATGTACACCATATCGCAATCACCGAAGCCTTGGAGAGATACCGGCTACATGGTAAACCCGCCAGGATACATGCTGGAGGTCAGCAATGGGTCACAACACCAGCTCAGGATCGGTTGTTGGTCGTTCAGGCACGCCGTGCTAGCTGTTCGACAGCAACTTATCTTCGAAATGACCTTGCTAATGCTGCGGGAGTCCGTGTTTGAACGCAAACGGTACGTAGAAGGCTGCTTGAAGGTAATTTTCGATCGGGAAGATATTGCATAAGTATCCCTTGACGAGTCAACATCGCAAGGCTCTTTCGAAATTGCCACGGAGCATAAACGATGTACATACCATGTAACATTATGTTTTCTGATGAGTCGAGATTCGGCTTAGACTTCAAAGATAGGCGTGCTAGATTCTGGAAAAGACGAGGTGAACGGTTTCAGGCTACACATATTGTTCTGCATGGCCGCTACGGGGAATGGGTCAGTTACGGTGAGGGTAGGTATCAGCTGAAATGGACGAACCGACCAGGTTGTGCTTAATAGTGGCACATTGGCAGGTCAGCGATATATAGACGACATCTTAGACAACCAAGTTAGGTTGTATGCTGTAGCAGTCGGCTATCAGTTCATTCTAATGGACGATAATGCTCGCCCCATAGACCCAGGGTGGTCCAGGACTACCTAGAGAGGGATCTTTTGGTCGCATTGACTGGCTAGCTCGCTCGCCTGACTTAAATCCAATAGAACACATGTGAAATTAGCTTCAGGTTAGAATTTCAGCTCGTCAGCTGCAACCCAGAACCATCCAGGAGCGTGGAGCCAAGTTGGTCCATGAATGGGCAGGCATACCCCTTAGAACTATCAGAAACCAAATAGGGAGTATGCGAAGGCGCTTCCAATCTGTTATTGATAGTCACGGGTCACACACACGGTATTTAGTATAAAACTATTAAACAACAACAATAACAACAACAACAATAAAAAAACAATAAAAAACAAACAATTTAACAAATTTGGAACACACGCTGCATGTTCTGAAGTCTTCAAAGAAGGATGTTATACTCTTCTCTAGCACAACATCAGTAACACTCAAATATAGGGTAAAATTTGCCCTTCAGCTGTATTGATAAAACTGTAAATCAACATTTAAAACCTTTCGCACGGCGTTTAAAAATAATCCCCAAAAATATTCACACTCGAACATATGGTCCTTAGCAAAAGTTGAGTAGTATAGTTTGGCTACTAGCTTTGCTTACACACTTTCATCCTTTTTTTGTGACTTCTTGTTTTTTTGTTTGTAAAATTTGCTGTTAATAACCGTGATAATTATGGACCTGGTTTGAAATTCGATATATTTGGCATTATGTGATATAACTAGAATGAACTTAACTGTTAATACATGTTGCTTTAAAGAAAAATATGAAAGCAGACATGTAATACAATTTATAAAAATAAACCTTTTAGAATTTCAGAAACTGTTGACGATATGGAAGCCTACACATATTTGAATGATGACGTCATTCAATTGATTATAAATGATAAGGAGCCCAAACTTGAAGAAGCAAGAAAAATTTTACGGGATATTATGTACAGACGGTTGTTAAAGTGTGTCACTCAAACACATTGTAAGGTAAGTTTGCTTTCCAATTGCCGTAGGTCAATACAGATCATTTGTGGATATATTGGCAAATACTACAATTTGCATATAAAGACGTATATTTTATTCTTTTAAAACAATGCCTGTAACAATGTATGTGTTGAGTAAAGGACGTAATGGTAAAAATTCAGAAGCAAATTTTCCCGTGGTGTTTATTACGGAAAGCCGTTGCGTTTTTATGTTTATTCCGAATCCTTATACATAACGTTCCGTAATTATGTATTTTGAGGTTTTAATGTATGCTTTAAAACTATTTTAATGTTTTGTGTACATATCCCTACACCAACAGTCATTTCATTTGAAATTATTTGACATATCAGTACATGTAGTAGCATGTATTGTAATGTATGTAATTATGTGATGTAATGTAAAGCCATATAACATGACAATAGGCTAATTGTATGTAATTATGTAATGTAATGTAAAGCCATAAACCATGACAATAGGCTTATTTGTTTAATAAGACAATAAGAAATATTTTAACATTTTAAGGACGAAAACTTGACAGAAATGGGTTTGAAAGAGGGTATATGGGAACATCTGAAAGGAACAGGAGTGGAAGAAAAGTCCCTCCATTATGACGTGAGTAAATTTCATGATACAAGGCAGAAGTTTAATCTGATCTTTAACTGTTTGCAAAAAAATATAACTTAATTAATTGAACGTGCATTCATTTATAGTATGTAAGTGTTGTGGCTTGATATCATTGAACTGCAGAATTTGTTTAATGGATTTGCCAACCCTTGAGTTTGAAACAGTTCATTAAAGATTTAAGGAATTCCGGTGTCAAACTAAGAACAGTAAAGAACCTGGTCAGATTGTACGATGGCCTTAAGAGTGGTGGCTAGGACTAGGTCTAGGCTCGTACCGTTTCAGCAGAGGAAGTGTTAATTATCATTTTTCAAAAGCGTATTTTGTATTTATGATGTCTGTTGTAAGGCTGGGAAACCCTTGATTTTTTAAGAAAGAAACATCACAAATCTGGTCGTTAATGATATGCATAAATAAATTATTTCACAATTAAATCACCGACAAAGATGCATGAATTGTTTGAAGAACAAATATGATTTCACTTTAAACAGACTATTGTACAGACTGGTACCGGTATATATCATTTAAGTACACACTCATTGTCCTTAATCTTATGGTATAGTTTTCCTAAAAGATAAAGTGTTCTTTTCTCAAAATATGTTCTATTTTCCCTAAATTTGTATGCAACATTTTTCCTAGATATGTTTAAAATGTAGGTAGGCAGCAGGCAGGCATGCATGCATGTATGTATGTATGACACGCTTCGTAGTATATTTGCAGTGTTTCCCCTAAATACATGTTTGTATGTTATATCTTTTTCCTATGTAATATGTGTGTATAGTTTGTCCTATATTATGTTTATAACATTCCCTTGATATGAAGCGTTTTTCTTAGATATGTATATAACAGTTAACCTCAATATGTAAGTTGGTCTTAGATATGTGTATTATAACATATTCCATTAAAATGTAGCATTTTTCTTAGATGTGTTCATAATATATTCCCTAGTTATGTAGCGTTTGTCCTATATATATTATATATAATATAACATTATCCCAACATATGTATGTAACACTTTCCATAGTATTAGAACAAATTTCCTTGTTATCCATCCTTTGTGGCTAAAGAGTTACCTTTAAGTGTTATGGTATGAGTATTGCAGCTGCCGTTTATCTCTGTGTGATCGTGAGAGACGGCTTATTGAGTTCGGATAAATAGAGTTTATGAATCTCGTAGTTCCAGCGGGTTATGTGATTTTGACCTCTGGTGTTGCTGTAAGTTTGTAAAATCCGGAGGTAGCCAAAATAATCTTTCCTGTTTTGGCGCCATATGACCTAAATAGTGTTGGTTCGCCGTAAACAAAACCAAACAAACGTTTTTATTACATATTGTGAAGTTTAATTATGGTATGGAGGATAAAAAACCTTAGAAAAAGTACGTTTTTATACAAAAGACCACTTTGATGAGCCAATAAGATTAGCTAAAAACCAAGTAAGCGAATATTCTAAAATCCGTAACAGATTTACATTTAAAATTTATAGTTTCCCTCTGAACAATGTGATTATGAAATAAATAGTTTGCTTGTTTACCGAATTAAGGTTAAATTTCTGTTTGGCTAATTTATGTCTACATACGAACACCTCGCCTTTACATGTGATAACTATGAATAAGGTCTGCATCTTGAATACAAAAATATTCATATTCACCAATACGAATATGTTAGTATTGTAAATGAAAACAATAATGTCGTCTACTATATTAAACACAAGTATTAACATGATATATATATAAATCAAATAAATAAAAAGACTTATGTTTGACCGCAATTATTAAAACACTATGCAGGTCTCCTACGTACTGCCGGACGTTTTTGAAGAGTGCATCATACGCCTATACTGCAAGATTGAAGACCCAAGTCAAGAATCAATTGTCAGAAAGGTTACAACAGCATTTGGAGAATGGTGTCGTGAAAAGGGCTATCCTTTACCACAGGTAGGCCTGCATAAAAATTCACGTATTGTTTTCATTTATTGGGAGACATGATAATTATAGTCCTCAAATTTGAAAAGCACGGTTTTGTGCCACTTATTTCTTTTTTACTTTATTAGTAATCAAATTGTTTTGGGTTTTTCAAGTTAGGCAATACACATAAATTGCAAGATTTACACCAAACAATATTTGGGAGGTTTGCAATTTTTTACCTTTATGATGAGCCCCTTCATTACATTTTGAATGATTGTGTAGCCTTGATTATAGTAATTACTGTTGTATTTTCTCAAAATGGGCTGAACAGATTTTTAAAATAGACCGAGAACTCGGTTACTGAAGTCGGTACCCTGTTGCGTTTATTTTTTCCATTATACATGGAAAATCTGGAGCCCAGCCATACTTTGTATTGTAAAAAAGGAAATAGGTATGAAAACTGTCCGTCAGTAAGACATTTTTCACAATCACCATTGTGAACAATTGTCGAACATTGGATTTATCAACGTAAACGATGAGATTTCCGTTTTCACAAAAAAAACGAATTTCCTTTCAACAAAACAAACTTTTGCTTTCGGGAAAACAAATACTGATTGTTTCCCATACCTTTTGATTACCATCATTCATTTGCATTGATTTCTTTATTAGCCTTTATTTCAAACCTAATATAATGTAACCAATAAACATTCAGCGTCAGCACCATGCATTCTTCCAATACAAATCATTGTTAGATCAAAAATTTTCAATTTCACCTCTTATATTTTTCAGAATCCATATCAAATCCATATTGCACTCCGTTTGGTTTCGGTTAATTATTTCGGTTCAAAACTGCTATCTCAAATCCATATTATACACCAATTTTTCATTTAAAGAGTCCAAAAAGCTAAATGTAAGTAATATCGTACTATAAATAATTTCACTAGCTACAAAGCTTATATTGGAGGCGCTATAAGTCTCACAGGTGTACTCTTTCAATAGAATTGTTTTTTTAAAATATACGTAAAATGTAAATAATTAACTTTTTTTGCTGTATATATTTTTTGCGTTTTTCCTGTATATATTTCTGCGCTGGCTCTTTGAATAGATACAGCATTGATGGCATAGTAGGTTATGTCTTATTTGGAATATCTAGTCATGAAATAAATCATGTCGATAATAAGATTTAATAAATTTGCGTGTTTTATAATGTTGCATTTTATTATGTAAAAATTTTAAAAAATCTGTTATTCTTTATAATTTTGTTTAAAATCTTGGTCATAATGTATCCTACAGTAAGATAGGTTGGATTGAAGAGAATGATTTCAACCTAATTATTAAAAAGCGAGAAGTGTGCAGAAACAAAAATAATAAACAAGTTATTACATGCAGGAATTGTCAATCAGCCAAACGGAGATGAAACAATTGACTGAAGTAATTGAAGATGCATCATATGACTCAAGAACACACATGCACGTGTCAAGCAGTCAGACGGCAGTAAAACAAATAGCTGAATCAAATGAAGAAGCATCAGATGATTCAAAAGAAACACAAAGACAAGTATCAAGTAGTCAAACGGCGGTAAAACAATTAGCTAAATCATCAAATAGAGAATTATTAGATGATATAAGAGAAACACATATGCACGTGTCAAGCAGTCAGACGGCAGTAAAACAATTTGCTAAATCAAATGGAGAAGCATCAGATGATTCAAGAGAAACACAATCACAAGTGTCAAGCAGTCAAACGGTTGCGGTGAAACAATTTGCTGAATCAATTGGAGAAGCATTAGATGATTCAAGAGAAACACACATGCACGTGTCAAGCAGTCAGACGGAAGTAAAACAATTTGCTGAATCAATTGGAGAAGCATCAGATGATTCAAGACAAACACTCAGACAAGAGTCAAGCAGTCAGCCGACTGTGGAACAGTTAGTTGAATCAAATGGAGAATCATCAGAAGATTCAAGAGAAACACTCAGACAAGATGGTACTTGTGAAGATCAAACAACAGAACCATTCCCGGAACCTGCTCAGTTTGTAACTTCTGGAGAGCCATCTTCATCTCTTTTTTTGTTTTCTTTCTTTGTGTGTTTTTGTGTGTTTTTGTTTTTTCTTTTTATCTAGGCCCTTAAAGGGTCACCCCGTTTATTTTGAACACAGATAAATACTTACAAACATGCATACTTAGACACATATATCTAAATCGAACAAACAAAAACGCATGCTACATTCAAACAAACACAAATAAAAAAGAGGCCTGTGATTAATGTTAAATCTTTTCTATGTATAGTTATGTTCCATTTTCATCTTTTTAGATAGATATACTAGTAGCTCCATATGAATAGCCAGCTCAAAGTTACAAACATTAAATCTGATATGTTAATGAAACAACAAACAAATTTAGTGTCTCTGATGATTACTCAACAGCTGTATCAAATTATGTGTTTCTAGTGTTTTTCTTTCTTCGGACATTTCATTTCTTGAATGATACCATACATTTGTACAGTATGTTGTTACTTTTTGTTCTGAAATTTTTATCATCGCTTATATTTTCTTAACAAAAACTCAAAAGATTTGCTTTACTTTTATTAGTAATAATTAGTTTACTTTGCAAAAGAATGAATATTCTTTTCAACATTGTTTCATGTAAACACAAAATATATTTTGTCTGTCCAAATTTATTATCAAAATTATCACTACTTAAGTAATTCACAAATTTATCTGCAATATGTTAACGTTCGCAAATAAGGCATCGTATCAATAATGTTGATAAAGCTCACTTTAAGATGTTGCATTAGGTAATTTTTTTTCAAATAAACATTCATCGAAAATTCAGATCTGTTTGCATGCATGCAATAATACAAAAGGTAGATGGATATAAGTCATTTTTCAAATAAAACATTCACATGGTTTTCTCACTATGTAAATGTTTAGTAGTTGTTTGTTGTTGGTTTTTTTCGGTTTATTTTGTTGTTTTTCATGCACTATTGTTGTTCCTTATTTCATTACCAGATCATGGCTTTTTAGAAATAATTAGAACATTATAATACATTTTTCACATGCATATAGATTATTGTGGTGCGGTATTGTACTACTAGTGTTTTTTCATTTCTATTTGTTTTAGAAATTATAGAATTTTTTTAGGGTTTTTGTACAAAATATATATACAACAAGTTTTTGTTAATTCACGTAATGTTACAATGTACTTTGCAGAAATGTTTACAATTTCACTGCAGTTCGAAATGATGAATTATATCATATTTTATACTAGATATGTGCCTAGATTATACAGTAGACAAATATAGGAAATGTTTCTTATCCGTGTAGAATGCAATTGCTCATGTATTCGTAAAATCGTAAAACAAACAAGACAATGATATAAAATTGCATAATGTTATTTTTGATTAAAAAAGTCTCGGTTTATTAAAACGCTATTTTGTCTTGTTTCCCTGCATGTTGTATTTGTTATATTTCAGCAATCTCTGTATAAACATTTAAAGTAAATTTGAAGCGTCAGTTGTCAAATTAAATTGATTCTGTGCTTCTTCTGAAATATAAAGGATTTTTGTTTGTTTTTGCATGTAAGATCGAAATAAATTTCACTGAGTGGACACCAGATGCAATATTTTTACGAGTGGTGAAGTTACGAGTGTAAATATAATAGCTGGTGTATATTTCAATGTTACATGCAAAACAAACACATTTTCTATGTATTTCATGCCTTTTAAGTGATTTAAATCATTTTTACTTATTTTGCCGCGTAACGTCATGCGTTCTTCTTCATGAAGTCATCACATTATGACGTCACCGTACAAATGTTGAAATTTAGTTTAAATTTTCTCGAATTTCGTTAATTGTTAACACAATGTATGCAGCTTTTTCACTTGTTTCTCCTAAGGAAGCAAAATTTACATACGACGGAATATATTCCTATTGATAATTGCATTTAGTTATAAAATATATTTTTTCATCCGCATTCAAATAAAGTCCGGCTACAGGGAACATTATCAAATATTATTTCACTTTCGATTACAAAGCATATAACAATTTTTCCAGCGAAGTTGCAAATTAATTATCAAAATATAATTCTAATTGCTGGTTCTGTTTTATGCATTGCATTTCAGGCTGTTTAAAACAATTGATTTTTAATTAGAGTTTTTTTAGAATCTTACCGAAGTGAACCTAGTAATTCTTTCATGTTGTATTTGACAGTTTTTTAGAAATGTACACGTATATACACTTATGACAGTAAGTTGAGTAACTGCTGCAACTGATTTTGTTTCCATCAAAACTCACAGGTTTGTTTACTATAATCACATATGTTAACAGATAAATGGTTTCAGATGTTTCACAATAAAGATGGTTTTCCTGGTCTTGATGGGTTATCGAGTCTTAAAGAGATGCTACTTTCGGTGACTTTGAATAACCTCTCAGGAAAAGACTTGCACTGAGTCTCTGATTTTCAACTAAGTGTGTTTTTGTTATTGTAAAAATTCTAAATGGATGCCAAAAGTTCTCTTTCACTTATTCATATCATACCAAAAACACTACTAAACAAGAATATTTGCGCATAAAATGAATAATGCAATTAAATAGTACTTCTGTTCAATAAAAATTTATTTCGGAGGGCTTAAAATTGAATTAAGGACCATCAAATTATTTAGAAATTAAAGAGGAAAATAATAGCTCTCAAATGCTCATCAGAGGATATGGTCCACATGGTCACGATTTGATTGCCAGGATACAATTTGTATTTGTTGTTCGTCGGACCAGAAGGATTTGAGTATTTTTGTAAAACGCTATCCATTGATCATTGCTGTACAGTTTGAGGATGAGATATTGTTTAAAGGCTTTCTATTTCAAGCTCGTGCAGTCGCGTTGTTTAACATACCTGAACAATATAAGAACCGCCTAAAGATCATTTCTTTAGAGTTTAAATTGATTACATTTTTTTACTTTCTTATCAGTTTTATCTAAAAGAGCCAAGTTCAAGATTTATAGGAAAACGTGTTATTGTTGTGAAATCTGTTAAAATGTAGGATAGAGAGTTTTTGGTCAATGTGATGACTCTTTGTACAATTATAAGGTGATTATGTATTCACTTTCAGTCTATTCAAAGTTAACACTTTACGTATGAAACATCTTCCCTACTTTGGTATGATGTCAGTATTGGAGCAAGTAGAAAAGTGTGTTGCTTTAATAGGAAATAGGAATTTACATAATATGCCAGGCTTGGATCTATAAATTTTTTGTTGGTGGTGCTTTAGTTAAAAAATAACCAAACTACACTCACTCATGATAGAGGCAGGTACAAGCATCTGCATGATACTGAGTAAATTAGTCCGGGAAAGAGGCCATAAGTAGATCCACTGGTACATTGTATATAGCCCTTTGAATCTGATAATGATGTACTACCTGTATGTGCAGCTTCTATCTTATTCTTAAACTAATTTCTTTCAATATAATAATAATGAAGCATACGTCGGTACTTTCCAAGCTAAGTAGGTAAACTAAACTTGTAATAAGTCTGGTTAAGGCAAAATAATTTTCCATTCAATATCACTAAAGTATAGCTTAATTATATCTAAAATGTTGTATTTGTACATAAACAAGAAATGTGTCTATAGAACACAGGTGCCCACGCATTCCAATGTTTTATTAGTATCATGCCGTACAGGATAACAGACAAAGAAAATTCTTCTCTAATCCCCTCCCCCTAAATGTGAGGGGCATAAAAACAGCACCCAATAGTTCCAATGCTGACACTTTGGTTTTTCCCAATACATTGTATTGAGCAGCAAGAATTTCATATCTCAATTTTATATCCTAAAGTATGCTAAAAAGAAAATAAAGACAAGCAAAGCCCATGATGCAAAATTGTACATGCTGACCTACGTTCCTGTAAAGTTTCATGACTTAAGGTCAAAACGTTTGAGTTACGCTCTTGACACAATTTGAAAATTGCATTTATTTTGTAAGTCAAAGGTTATAACTCTACAAATACTGAATAAATCCAGAAGCAAACCTCTAGATCACTATCTACACATGCTGACCAATATTCCTGTAAAGTTTCATGACTCAAAATATATACATTCTAAGCTAGTTGAAAATGGCTAATTTTTACTTTCAGTTGAGGGCAACAACTCTGACAAAACTGTGCAAATATTCTAATTAGCAAATTGCGATTCCTGCTAAATACTGATACCATCTCTCACTTTTAAAGATACTGAAATGAATTCGGTTCCATCGGCTCTAAATGTTAATATTGTTTTGAGGATGTTAATTCATATATACTATAATAATTGTGTACAGCATGTGAGGACATAAAGTTTGATATCTTATGATAAAATATTTCTTCATTTTCCTTAGCAATATTTTCAATTAAATAGGAAATATTCGTATCATTTTTATTACGATAAAACTATTGTCACCGAATTTTCAGCTTCAGTATAAGTTGACGGATGTCAGTTTGGGTTTGAGAGAAGACAAAATAATTTTAAATCATAAAATGGGGTTTAAATCAATGGGTATCATCAAATTAAGTGAACATACACATATAGGTATAGAGAAAGAGAAGTCTGATTTTATATTAAAATATCCAGAGATATTTGGATTTTTATTTAGCACATCAAAAAGCATAAAATGTTTGAAAAAAAAAATGTTGACTTAAAAGTGTATATCGATTTGCCGAAAAATGTCACGTGCATAAACAGATCAAAGAATAGTTCGAAGGTCAATTATATATTGAAAGTATCGAGGAAAAGGGACAGAATACACGTCGGGTACCGGTTTAGCCAGTATTACGGGACGTGAGCGATGTGGCACCTTTTCATGTACAGACTTAATTAAACCGAGTATGCAATTTTCATGTAATTTTGTTGTGATTAATGATTCCGAGGGATTACACTTTTTCCAGATTTTTAATAGCCGCCTTTTTAGTTTCAGTTTGCTTTGACCTATTGACGCTTAACTTTGTATCTGGATAGCACATATCAACAGGAAGCTTAGGATTGCTACAAAGATGTATTTGATCAAGGTCAATGTCATTGTTGCTAAAATTATAAATTTAAGTTTACGCTCAATAATTTAGTTTGTTTTGACCTTTTGACACAAAACTTAGTATAAAAATATTAATTCAGTTTCCTCTCACTTTCAGTTAGCATTGACCTATTGAAGGCAAATTTGGTGTGTGGGTAGCTTATATCAAGATGCACCCAGGTGTCTGTGATCAAGGTCAATATCACAGTTGCTTAAAATCTCCACATAATAACTTGAGTTTGCTTAGACCTATTAACACCAAATTTAGTATGTGGGTAGATTTCTTGAAGACGCAACTTGGGATTGCTACCAAGGTATCTGTGAACAAGGTCAATGTCACCGTTGTTTAAAACATTTCAGTTTTCACATGATAATTTGAGTTTTCTTTGACCTATTGACACCAAACTTGCTCTGTGGGAAGCTTATATTGAGATGCTGCTTCGGATTACTGCTTAAATATCTGGGAACAAGGTCAAGTTCACTTTACAGCTTCTACTCAAACACTTTAGTATACGTTGACCTATTGATACTTAACCTGGTATTTGTGTAGCTTATTGATGGATCTGACATTTGGGTGTAGATAAATTTGATGAACTTGAACGTGTACAATATTATGCTTGTAAACGGTTTATGTGCGCAAAACAAAACTTATCAGATTGTGCTGTTTTAGGTGACTGCGCTAGGTATCCACTATATGTTAAGACTTACAAAAGAGCTATAAGATTTGTTGAAAACTAAAAAGATGCCTAAGGAAAGATTGTCAAAAATGTAAACATAATGATGCCAAATGATGCCTCTAATTGCTATTTCAATATGGTTACATCGATGAAAAACCATTCAGAAAGACACGGATTTGGCTATGTGTGGCTTAACCGATATGTACAAAATGAAAATGTATTTTTAAATGTTTTGTAAATAGAGTGAAAGATATAAGTCTTCAAGAGTGGAATATGAATGTTGACGGTAATTCTAAATTAGAAAGTGACAAATTCTTTTGAGCATTTTTAAATGCTTTGGATTTGAAAAAAAAATCGATTCGTTTTTATAATTGGTCTAGATATTGAAGTAGAATGGGGAAGATATACACTTACGCAGAGAAGTGAACGACTTTGCAAAGTGTGTGATAAAAACAGTGTTGAAAATCAATATAACTATTTACTTATTTGTGACTGTTACGATGATCTACGCAATAATCACCTACTAAAGAAATATTACATACAACCAAACCTTAATAAGTTTACATAATCATGTCAACAACAAATGAATATCTCATTAAATCTGTCGCTGTTTTCTGTATTATGCATACAAAAAAAAAAGAAAACAATTTTTGAAAAATATGTAAAATGATAAGTGTTGTAACAATATATCCATAATAGCAATATTGATAATATTTTGTTATAGGTAAATTGTTAATAC